GCCGGGGCCGGGGCAGTTACCGCCTCCGCCCTGCCTCCTCCCGCGGGCAGCGCCGCCCGCGTCCACGCAGAATAAGCGGTCCCGTGCATCGGATGTGGGACGTCCCTGCCGGGCGAACTCCTCGTTAGACCCCGTTCTCCTTCTCATGTAATCATCTCACCGCTTGCTTTACCTCCGCAAGACCCCCGCCTTCCCCAGGAGCCAAGTTCTTCGTCCGCTGACCCCGGGCACCCCTGCACAGGTGCTGTCCTGCCGTCGGTCACCTGTGTCCAACAGGCTCTCCCGGCACGCAGGTGTCCGCCGAAGATACTGTCGCGTTCGTTTCTAGATAGCCACGCATTATAAAACCCCGGGTTTGCCCTCAGCTTGTACTTGAGCAACGCCACGCGCTCGCCTAAAGTTACACCTTTAGTCACGATTAATCAGCTCCCTAATACCTCCAGAGTTGTAAAGGAAATTTTTTAGGTGGAAAAAATGTAGCTTAACTACAGAATGTTTCTGGTAATAAACAGAAAGAAATAGAGCCCAGCGTTCATTTAACTGTGTTGGATTTGGGGCATAAGTGCGTAAAACTAATAAACCAATAAAACTAAATTTCACCATTAAAGTTAACTGACTACGTAAATCGGGGAGGTTGCAGAAAAAGTTACTCCATTAAGCAGTTCCTCTTCAAAATAGAATTGTGCTTTCAAGAATAAAGTCAAACACAATATAAAACTGGCATTAGCTATATTTATGTAGTACATAAACCACTTAATCTTAAGAGTCATTCTGAGATTAAAGAAAAGCAAAAAAAATAAAAGATGCTCTTTATTAGTCACATTACTCAAATTTTATGAGACTGTGAATAACGGTTACTTTTCTCATAAAATAGGCAGGGCATTCTTCCACACACTTCCCACCCAAGACTGTGAAAAACTTTATAAACACGACATTGTAACTTCCTGATATCCATTTAGAGAAACTGGTTGCCTTTATGGAGAAATGGGAGTCCAGGATCCAGTAGGAAGACTACAGGAGACTCAGAACGAAAAATCCAAGTGCTCTACTACTATTGCCACAAGAGTGACCTTCTCCATTTCATCCTGCAAGTAATTAAGGAGATAGATACAAATCTTCAGCTTCACACAGTAATATATTACCTCCATTTATGCCTCATACTGCATCTGTCCACTTTCAATCAAGCAGCACGCTATTGTCAGCTGGAGAGTACCTATACTCACCTTCCCTTCCTCCCCTTTCACACCAACAGTCAGTAGCAATTTCAGACTGACAAATTCCTTCAGAGTCCAGGGCAGGATTACCCTTCTTTTCACCCACAGAATGGAATAGGCATAAGAACTTCCAAAAATAAAACATCTATCCCTAACATGCATCAAAGCACCGAAGAGGGAAAAAAGGGCTGAGGAACTGCCATCTGAGGTAGAACAGTGCAACTGGTAAAGCTCTGGTGGCCCATCAGAAAGGCAGAATCGCTTACCTGAAACAAAAGAAATTCATCTAAAGTACTAAACGGGAGTTGTTTCTCCATGCCTTAAATGTACCTGAGATCTCAAGCATTTTCAATTCTACTTTGGCATAAAACCCATGGTGTAAGAAGTTGCTGTATCTGAATTCCAATGCAGGCATGGATGTCTTGATTAGGATGAAATAATAAATGGGCCAATCTTTCATCCATTTCTCTAACAGAATTGAATCTTCATTATAATTAGCAATAATAATAATAATGAATATGCGTTCTTTAAAAAAACATTAAAATATTACAGTTGAATTGATGTAAAAAGTTGAGATTATGCAAATTCTTAGGATAATTTTTCCTCACAGAGTTAAAATGGCCTTGAAATCCCTGTATAAAAGCACCCTTCTATATGGGGTGTTATCTTCAGTGCTTTTGTGGTGCGCTTTTTTTTTTCGGTCTTAAAAAAAAATTTGTGAGGTCTATGGATTGTATACAGGGCAATACAGATTGGGATGGGAAGAACCCCTAACTTGGTCACAAAGATTTATACGGTTCCAAAATAAAAGGAACTTTTCTAACAGTTCCCTAACTAGTACGATACATGAATAATGTACAACTAGTATTTGATCAAAATTTGATCAAACCATTTTATGGAATCATTTTAGTGAGTTCTGTCTTCTACATCCACTAGCATTTCTCTCTGTAAAAAACTGTGAAAATACACCAGGAACAGAACTGCATTTTGAAAGGTCCTTCATTTCTGCATCAAAAATTCAACAGACATTTTAATTAGTTTAGACACAAACGTGGTTCTGACTTTAAAGATGAGCCTCATTCATGGTTTCAAACGCAGAATTCAAGCTACATTATTTCAATCAGCATGTAGACAGAAAATTCAGAGATTACACAAGGGGATTTTTTTAGGAAAATAGAGACTTTATACTGTTGTTTGTTAAAAAATAAAAGGTTGTTGATTTTTATAGTTCACTGCCCTATGGTAATTGTAGACAAATACTTGAGACTCTAATCCTATTACTAATTCTGCAAATTAGTGGGAATCTAAATTGATGCCCTGGATGCTTGTACAGTCAGAATCTTTCTGACTTCAGCCCATCTCCAGAAGCCCTGACCTTACGGGCGCTGACTTTACAATACCAGCTCTTCTACTTCACAAGTTTCTTGAGATAGCAGATCTAGAGGGTATAATGAACTTTACACGTTGTTTGCTTCCTTTTCCTGACTGTTCAACAGCACACTCTGAGGTTACATCAGGGTTCTCTGAATGTTCCAGACCATCCTCCCGTTTATAGCAACTCCCTCTATTTCTGCTAGCTCTAATTTTGGATTTGACAGTTAAGAAGCACCAGTTCTTGCACTAAAGCAAGAATTCTTTTCTTGCTCCTGCCTTGAATTACCTGTGTTACCTCAATTACCATCTTTTAATAGAGTAATTAGAAGTTTCCCTCTTTTTTCTCTGTAAAAGCCAGGACTTAATGACTTTAAGGATACACCTACATACCTCAGAACAAGTCTGCTGACTAGGCTTACACACTGTACAGATTGCTAGCTTGCAAGCCTGGAGCACAAGGTAAGCATAGTTTCCAGAGATCTCACATGACCAAAGAGATCTAGTGGTCACACACAGCACTAAGCACAACCGACCTGCTGGTTACTGAGGCTCACCTCTATGATCAGGTGATGGCAAGGCCAAGACAAAATCATAATCTCGCTCAAAAATTATTAACTCATGTTTGAAAATTACTGAATTACAGTCTTTGTAATTACTGATTTATAGTATGAACGTAAATTCTTAAAGAAACATCATGTCAAGTATTTGATGCAGAATTTGCATTTTACAAATTAGATTTCCTTTAAAATATGAACAGGAAACATTCTGAGGAAAATCTTACCTTAACTTTATGGAACTGCACAGTAAATATTGAGGCAGGAGAGAAGAATGATGCTAGGCATTCTTCCTGTTTTACATATACCTTGTAGCTGAAGGGCAGGATGGCTTAGGGAAAAGTGGCACAATTTACTTTGCTTTTGATCAAAAGGCAAATATGCCTGAAGCAGTGAGTGGTCTTGACTGCCACATACTCAGTAGCTGGCTTTCAAGGGGAAGAAAGGGGCTGGAAGTCCCCTAGGATCTTTTACTGTAAATAACTATAAATAGATATCAGTAACAGAATTAATGTACCCCTCTGGAGCCAGCTGATATATATGTCATCTGGTACACCTGACAGACATTACTCTCAAGCACTAGTTTAAACTTTCAGGAAGGGTTGTGCCCTGCTGCATATCTAGACAAAGGAAGCTCTTTCTACACTATTTACTTCCCACTCATGATTCCACAAGTGTCTTGGCACACAGCTCTGCAGGATCTAGCCCAAAGCAACAAGACAGTCCCTATGCTATTTTAGATGGTTTGTACATTGTCACTTTTTATAAACAACACTTGTAGCTCCATTTTCTCAAAAGCAAGTATAAGTGATAATCCTTTCCCGTATAATTTTGAAAACTAAACCTAAATTATTCAGAAGTACAGCTGCTGTTGTCTAATCCTTGCTAGCTCTTTATACAACTTTCTCACTATACTTCACAAATTTTTCTTGGAACCTAGCAGTCAAATGAGTGCCAGAAACACCTTCTGTCATGCTAAGAGCAGTATCCTTCCTCCAAAACTGAAAAACTGATGACATTTTCAATACCTTTCAGTATTTTCTAACAATTACTTTCCTGTTCATTTCAACCAGCTGGAAGACCCTTTCTGCTGTTAAGCATAGTGTGCTATATACAAGTCCAGGAAGGTTAGAATAAATGTTTTAATTACAATAATCTGTGTAAATGGCCATACTTCTTATGCAGTCAGAAATACCTCCTACCTAACTTATAATCAAATTAAATGAACTATACATACATATAAAAAAGTAAAATCTGAGGTGTGTTGAATCCAGACAATACAGTAACAATAAATTCTCACTGACTAACACTCTAATGGTATATTCTGGTTTTCCTGGCTGGTGCCTTACTAGTTACCAAATTAATTACATTATTAATAATATCAGTAAACAGCTGGAAAATCTTTACAGAAAAGCTTTTCTTAAAAATCCTAAGTTTTCACATGATAAAGTTTTTCTATTAATCAGAATTTTGACTTATGTGACTGACACAGAAAGGGTCATTTCACTTTTTTTTAAATAATTACTTTTGTAAATGACTTTATACTACTCTCTAAACATCCATTTTTCTCAAAACTATGCTTCATCCCTATAACTGCCTTAATAAAATGTCTGTGTGAGAAGCAGACTGCCGGTTTTGCATTCAATACATAAAACACAATGAATGCATACGCCTGACACTAAATCTTAGTAAACCTTGCTTAGAGTATTTTTCGATTATTTGTATACATGCAGTAAACAGAAAGAATCAATTCATTCTTGCTTGTATTTCCTATTCATAACCATAATTCTCCAAAACTTCAATATCTTTTGGGTTGATCATCACATTTCCCCGTGTTTCAGAATCGCAAACTGTTTTCACCTCAGCAGAACTAATCAGAACACAATTTACATTGTCAGAATTTGCAGATTTGGCAAAGAAAACGTACCTGATTCAATTCTGCCCAGG